TCCCCACAACGTTAACATACAAGGATGTATCCCCACAACGTTAACATACAAGGATGTATCCCCACAACGTTAACATACAAGGATGTATCCTCACAACGTTAACAAACAAGGACATGCCAAAATAGTGTTAATACACAAGGACCAACAGATTGAAGCGATAAGACAATAAATTAATTCTGACGTCGATGTGCATAACTACAGTTGTGGAATCGCACAACGTTAGCCAATCATTTTTACCAAACCGCACAAAATGTGCATAGGATTGTACAGTTGTCCGCACGACACTGTATCGTACGCGTGTGCCCACGAAGCTTTTGGTGCGTTATGTGCTACTACAACTGTAAATACTTTTGATGATAAAATGTGTTCGGCAGATTTTCTAAATTAACTTGTTCATAAGGATGCAGAAACCCGTTGTCTACGTATTGTGACCGGTAAAATGTCGTGTTAACCACGTCCATACTTATATAAGTACAACGCCAAACTGCACTTTGACTTCCTCATACTAAATTATGGAACTTAATTTTTCACATGAAGGTCACAAAACTTTCTTCATAAGCTACGTTAACCAGCTTAACATCACTGCCTTTTCATATACTCTATCAAAACATCTTCATTTTAACAAATGGCATATAGGACCTGTACTCTTCATCTCGTTTTATTACGCCTTATTATTCAACAGCTGTTTTCCTTCGAACAAAATATCCCCTGTAGTAATTGAAAAGGTAGTTAGGAGGGCAAGAAGTAAAACTTAAATTTCCTTTTACACTGTATTACACTCTAAACTTAATTTGAACCTCTCCCACGTGACAGCAAATGATCAGCGAAGAATAATTAAATTTCATGGTAAATTTCCCATAGGGCATGAAATTTGTGCTATTTTAAGTTCTGAATAAATCTTTTGAAGTTTTATTCATTTTATCCTGTTGTCGATACTTCCAATGCCTCGCTTCACAATGGGTTCAAATCTACCATTTCCAAATTTTGAAATGCCTTTCCTAAAACTATTGTAACCAAATTGGCTGGTACTTACAAAAGTTTTTAGTGTAGAGTTTTAAAACAGAACTCCAATTTCACCTTACTGGCACTTAAGCCCACCAAGCAACAGAAACTGGTTACAAAAGTATGAAAACACTTCAGATCTCCAAAGTTACTGGACTATAGTAACACATGCAATCAAGCATTTACAAATATTTATAAAAAAAAAAAAAAAAACCAACAACAAGCTCCTTTGTTCAAGTTCTATAAATTTGTATTCATGCAAATATTGCAATTTCACAACAAAAACAAATCATCAATAAATTACGACATTTCAGCATTTTTGTAACTGATACCAATCAACATTGAAATGAACTAATTTCCTTCCAATAATAAATCATTAGACACAGAATATCTATTTCGTGGCTGTGTTTCTTAAACTGATGTTTCATACCAGAGAATTGTTCAACACAAACAAATGTGTGTACTTCTAATCACATCAATGACAAATGACTTGACTTCATGCATAGGGTCTCAGCAAAAATTCACAAACAACGGTCCATTTATCATAGTGACTCTTTAATGCACATTTAAGGGAGTGTGGGTTAAAAATCCATGCCAGGAACCTGTGCATGTAGCCAAGTCCTGTGACTACAAGTACTGTAAGTCAAACTTAAAGATAACACATTTTGTATCAATATACTTGTAACAGCAATATAGCAGACGTTTCACCCTTTCTTTCTCAATGAACAAACATATATGCGATATGTACATGTACATACACTCCAACACAGCAAGCTGTTCAGTCAAATCACTGAAGTCAACACATAGCATTTATCAGGACAGATCATTTCATCCATATCTTCAATTTTCAGCCTTCTGTTACTTTTTTAAAACCCTCTCTACAAGGTAGATTATATGTAGTTTTATTTACCTGTACATATTTTATAAGTATTTGTAACAACTGACATGATTGATTTTACATCTGTTTACAGCTACTTGACCACACCCCTGTACCTACTACTGTAAAACTAGTGCCAGTAATGTAGACTGCCCTTATCATCTGGTTTTAGCATTGATACCAATACTGGTACAGTAGTAATTCTATATTGTTGGTCAATTTCCCGGAAGTTTCAGCAGAAATGCTAATAAATAATAAATACAACAGGCACATAGACAAATAATTTTCACTAGTACTCAGACGGGAATAAATTGTGCAAAGCCCTCACTCCAAGCTAGAAAAAAACTATGAGATAATTAGTCAAATAATTTGTTTCCTATTGTGATGATGTGTACCAGCTGTGTATTTATGTAAAGGTTGCTATGAACCTGTACATCCTTATCTTTGTCTTCTGGTGGTAAGCCCATCTCCTTTCTTTGAGACAGAGGTTTATTATTAGCCCCCCTCCTTGCTCTCTCTCCCCACCCTTTTGAACAAAAAACTTGCAGGATAAATATGGAGCATCTAATATAAGCCACTGCACTGCTCAATATCTAAGACATTACTCTACAGTAACAATTTCAAATAAGGCATCTTCATAGCACACATGACTTTAATATACATATTGTTATAGAAAACAAGCAGTTATCATACAATTATGACAAAATTATAATGCATATATAAAGCAACATGGTGGTCATACTTCATTTCACATACACTAAAGAATCACAACATTTCATAAAATCTACTATAATTGTTACAGATTTACGCAGTATGGAATATATATATTTTCTTTGTTTATATAAATATCACAGACTTTAGCCTCTAGTATGTACAATATGTAAATTTCTCACTGACGTACGCCAATCAGATGAACTGACAACAGATATACATCTCATATCTGCCTGACCTTTATACACGTGGTTTTGATAAAAAAAAAAATAAGCACATACAAGGACTTACCAAATAAATATTAAAACAAAAAAAATTGTGTTCTTGACCAATATACAGTTCTCATGGTAACATTGAACACAATAGGATGATAATTAAGAAATAAAATTGCCACATGTTATTGCAAAGTACAACCATTTTCAAATAAAAATTCTAATGAACTTGTAATTTTGTATGAAAACAAGCCCTGCCATAAATGCTTACTCCATCAGGTTAGTAAACATTTAACCTTCTCCTGATTATCTTTTCATTCAGAACACCACAAAATTTTACAGAATAATTAGAGACCCGTACACACTTATTGTTCCATCTTGATCCAAAGCACCACTAAAATCATACCATATTGTTACTATAACACTACAGAAGTACTTACCAGGTAGATGTGCTATGGTAGTATGGTTGTAGGGAAGTGTGATGGAAATGCTGTGGATGACGCTTTGAAAACCCTCACTTGTTTATGATTAAATATTCAGTTTAATGTTTTGATTTCATAAGAAAAAAATAGGTTGTTACAGTTTACGTGACTGGAGTGTCAGGAGTAAGCCAAAAATAGCTTTTCACAGATACTGCATGTAAAATAAAATACAAAATATGATCAAGTCTGTATTACAGGTCCAGTGACTTGTTAGTTATATCCATGTTCAGAATTACTTATTCAATTACAATGTGATAATGGGAATTCACACATCATACATCAAATCGTTCTATTCACTTTGTACAATGTTAATTCATGGTTGAGTGGGTTTTACCTGTTACAGATGATCTAATACAGGTTTCAATTGAAAAGGCAAAAAAGTTGAGATAGACATGGAAGTTGTACAGGTACCTAGAAAGATTGTCTTGGATGATTGCATTGAAATAATTAACCTGTACATCTCTGGCCGATGATCATATAGGTAACAGCTATTTTTATCACCAATCGTGTTGCAACAGAAACAAATCTCAATAGATGTAAACCAAAACTGAAGGAGTAATGATAATGAGTTGATGTAACTGCAAATTTTACATACACACAAGTATGTACATGCAGAGGCTTTCAAAACCAATTACTTCAAATAAACAAGCTTCTACATAGCCTTGAGGTTAAGATTAAAATTAAATATTAAAAGTTAAAATTCTAATGTAGTAATGAAATATACCTTTTGTGTAGAAAAACTGATCCAATTTTTGTGTTTCCTAACCATACAATACGTAGGAATGAATGTTCTTTACAAATGGTTTTTGATTGGGAAGCAGTAATTACAAATGCTACAGTAGTACTGAGAAAACAGTACAGAAATGCTATGGTAATGTGATGAAAACACTACGGCAGTATTACGGAAACAGTAAACACTACAGTTAAATTGGAACAGAAAACATGTATAGGTCTGATTTATATTTCCATCATTCAATGTACCTTTGTTTGTGTCAAAATTCACATCAGGAAATTCACCTGTTTAAAAAATTTCACTTTACTTAAAACAGAAGTATACGTGATTATACCCTTAGAAATAAGATTTTAATCGAGGATGTGGTTATTTTACATATGATAACCCATTCCACTATCACTCTCTTTTATATCAATTCTGCGCTTTATTACAAGCCAGTATTTCATTTGCATGTCTTAAATCCCTAAGAAATTCACCAGAATTTTTATACTTTTGATTACAAAAGAATGGACACAATCAATCTGAATATTGTAATTCCAGAAGTCAATAATATTCAACTCATAAATCTTAATAACTGTTTTGTGTCCCAATTTTGTTTTTAATCAAAAGTGCTATTGATCTAGTAAGACACTTTGGGCCTGTTTATATAGCTGATATAGAAGCCACTAGAGTATATATCAATATCATTTTACAATACTAAATCTTCCAGCAGATAAAAAACACCAATATGATTATTGTATGGCAGTTTTTATGACTTCACCTAACTAACAGTTCAGCAAAAATCAATTAAAACAGAATAAAATCAACACATAATACTATCCTATGCAATAAGTATCTTCACATTTCAGTTCCTGAATGTAGGTCGACATATTTACAAATATCATCAAACAAATACCAAAGAAGAGTATTAAACGTTATAGAAACCTGATCAAAAGAAAATAAATCTTTTAAATCAAAAACAATTTTCGATTCATTCACACAATTTGATTATCATGTATAAGTTTTCAATCAAAGAATATCAATAATGAAAATAAAGTTGTTTTCTATAATTTGTAATATTTTAATTAGTTGCTTATATCATTGAAATAAAATCTCCAAGGTTTTTCATACTCCTAGAGTGATGATTAGATCATTATATGTAGGAAGCACCAGTTTGATTTCAGTAAAATACAGTATCACCACATTGCACCGGGACAGGAACTGTAGTTAGCCCTTGAGTCAGGTTGGGATTGGTAGTGAAGGAAGAGAACGACAAACAACATAAACATGATGACAAGCTGCAGTGCCCCCAGGGCCTTCAGCATCCACTGCGTCTGTCGGGTACTCACCATCAGGTCATCAACCTGTAACAAAAATTTCTCACTTCATTTCTACAATCCTCAAAATAGGTATTGTTTCTCTTCATACAAAAACATATTGCTATTGGAAAGAAAATATCTGGATTTATCATAAAGTAGATCTATTGACATAAAGTTTATTCTTTGATAACTTACTACCATCCAAAGTAGAAAGTCCTGAACAATATTTACTATTGTGTACCACTACATCTAAAATACAAGGCCCTGAACCAATATTTACTATTGTGTAACACTACACCTGATGTACAAAGCCCTGAACCAATATTTACTATAGTGTAACACTACACCTGATGTACAAGGCCCTGAACCAATATTTACTGTTGTGTAACACTAGATCTCAAGTACACAGCCCTGAACCATTATTTATCACTGTGTAACATTACACCTGATGTACAAGGTCCTGAACCATTATTTACTGTTGTGTAACACTAGATCTAAAGTACACAGCCCTGAACCATTATTTATCACTGTGTAACATTACACCTGATGTACAAGGTCCTGAACCATTATTTACTGTTGTGTAACACTAGATCTAAAGTACACAGCCCTGAACCATTATTTACTGTTGTGTAACACTACATCTAAAATACAAGGCCCTGAACCATTATTTACTATTCTGTAACACTACACCTGATGTACAAGGTCCTGAACCAATATTTACTATTCTGTAACACTACATACACCTGATGTACTAGGCCCTGAACCAATATTTACTATTGTGTAACACTACATACACCTGATGTACTAGGCCCTGAACCAATATTTACTATTCTGTAACACTACACCTGATGTACAAGGTCCTGAACCATCATTTACTATTGTGTAACACTACATACACCTGATGTACAAGGCCCTGAACCATTATTTACTATTGTGTAACACTACATACACCTGATGTACTAGGCCCTGAACCATTATTTACTATTGTGTAACACTACACCTGATGTACAAGGTCCTAAACCAATATTTACTATTGTGTAACACTACATACACCTGATGTACAAGGTCCTGAACCATCATTTACTATTCTGTAACACTATAAACAAATTACTGCAGCAATATCATATTCTCTCATTATAAGTATACTCACCTTTTGTGAAAGTGTCTGCACATTTTCATCTGAGTTCGAACTTGCTCCAGCATTTTGTCCCTGCAAAGTCTTTGTTGACTGCACACATCTCAACCTTCAAACAAAGCCAACATTATGTTAAGTTTTCACTTCTATCATTACCTGTAAATTCTACTGTATACTCTGTTTACAAAAAATATTTCCCATGATTCAAGTTTTCTCTGCATAACAAACATTCTTCTAAAATGTTTACAAAAACATGACCTAAAACAGCCCCCTGTTTACCTAGATAAGCTCTAGAGAGGGAAGCAACTAGTTCAGGTTTGAGACTAAGGAGGAGGGAGGACTAAGTTTTGGCACTACCAACAAAGTGCATTAACTTCAATTTCCAGTAGTGTTTCTATACACTGTACCACAGAACCAGATAGACATATATAATTATGTATGGTAATTGTAAATATTTGTTTCAAGAAAAATTACAAAGGGAAACTGTTACTTCTTAATAAAGAGACGAGGAACCCTTACCTCTTAATAAAGAGAGGAGGAATGGTTACCTCTTAATAAAGAGAGGAGGAATGGTTACCTCTTAATAAAGAGAGGAGGAATGGTTACCTCTTAATAAAGAGGGGAGGAACGGTTACCTCTTAATAAAGAGGGGAGGAACTGTTACCTCTTAATAAAGAGGGGAGGAACGGTTACCTCTTAATAAAGAGGGGAGGAACGGTTACCTCTTAATAAAGAGGGGAGGAACGGTTACCTCTTAATAAAGAGAGGAGGAATGGTTACCTCTTAATAAAGAGGGGAGGAACGGTTATTTCTTAATAAAGAGGGGAGGAATGGTTACCTCTTAATAAAGAGAGGAGGAATGGTTACCTCTTAATAAAGAGAGGAGGAATGGTTACCTCTTAATAAAGAGAGGAGGAATGGTTACCTCTTAATAAAGAGAGGAGGAATGGTTACCTCTTAATAAAGAGTGGAGGAATGGTTACCATTTAATAAAGAGAGGAGGAATGGTTACCTCTTAATAAAGAGAGGAGGAATGGTTACCATTTAATAAAGAGAGGAGGAATGGTTACCTCTTAATAAAGAGAGGAGGAATGGTTACCTCTTAATAAAGAGAGGAGGAATGGTTACCACTTAATAAAGAGAGGAGGAATGGTTACCTCTTAATAAAGAGAGGAGGAATAGTTACCTCTTAATAAAGAGAGGAGGAATGGTTAGCTCTTAATAAACACTTAAGTGATCTCAAGAAACAGTTCATCAAGGACATCCCACCACTTTAGTAATTATTATTACACTTTTTTTGTTTAAATAACACGGCCACATATTTGAAGATTTCTTAGCTGATCGTAAGTCAAGTACAGTCATAAAGTTAATGAATGAAATCTGATTCTATTCTACCAATTATATACACTGTATTTGATTCTAAAATATCAAAAGCCATGGATTTCAGTTCTACAGCAAATCAGTCATTCCCAGTCATATTGTCAATATCAAGTAAAATCCCAAACAAGTTATGATCAACAGGGATTTGCTTCAGAAGCGCTGCAGCCTCAATCTCCAGGTAAAGTACATCAGGGAGATACTAGGTCCCATTTCATGTTTACTCTAACAAGTAAATTCTACACTGTAATCTACAGAAGGCACATATTGATTGAACCTCAACAACATGCCTTATTCCCGACATCAGAGACAAGTTATAAACATTACACACAGATGGATAACCCTGGCAATATAATGAAAGGATTATTTTGTAACATGCACTTTTTCTACAGAAAACTAGCTACCAGTATGTTCACTTTGCGTAAAAGCTAATGTGGAATATATATGCTATTTCATTTCTACCCTACACCACTAGCTTGCATTCACAGATATTGCCCATCAAGGCTTGTTGTTGTGTAATTTGGTACCAGTTTAAATTTTCATCACAAAATTCAAAACTTTATCCACATCTCACTGTCTGATCAGTGATATACAATGACCATGAGAGTAATACAGAATAGAGTATAGTACCCATGTGTATGCCTCACATTCTATGTTGATTGATGTCTGGCTGTGATGATTAGAGCATAGTTGACATTGATGGATAAAGGAAGGGAACTCCTTTTCAAAGGCAGCATTGCCATAAGCTGTTAAATCTGTATTTTGTTTTAATGCCATAATTCAATGCAAACATGTTGCCACGTGATTGGGTAGGTTGTGTTGACATTTCAGTTAGTCTATATAGGACGGATTAGCAGTCAAGACTTGACAAGCAGAGACTCCACATGACAGGATAGTTTGATCTGCTATATGTAGTGTGTAGCGGAATATACACTACAGTGAGAAGAAGCAATCTCCTTCTCTATTTTTGAACATTGCTGGCTATCATATTGAAAAATCATGTAATTGCTAAATACAAGAATATCAGTAAAAATGATGAATGCTCCAAAAAAACAACTTTATTGGACACAAAAGGTTAAACAAAGGGCAATAATTCTGTACTAAAGGGGTTTAATGCTCTTAAAATGACCAAGGTATACACCAAGTTTCATTATCCCATTGAAGATGCAAGCAAAGCTATGCTTTGGACATGAACAATTTAACAAAGGGCTATAACTCTGACACTGAGGGGTCAGGGGCCTTGAATATAATACAGTGAAGCTTCCTCAAACCAATCCTTCTTGAAATCTATCACCTCTTGAAACTGAAGGAAATGGCGATATATGGACTGATAACCTGTTAATCATACTAATACAAACCTTCCAATACCGATCCTTCTTAGTTCCAAATACCAAACCGATTTTGTGTCCAAAATGATTACCCTGGTAATATGTACTAAAACACCAGTGACACCTGAACAATCAAGATCAAATTTCAAACCAGTGGACCATAAAATCAACCCCTGTTGTGACAGTTGTTAGCTTGACGTTCCCTGCGAGTATGCCTGTCACTGGTAGGCTTTGTATACAATACCTACCCTAATCGGGAGGGTTATAATTAACAGAACTTATCTTCAATGGCAAATTAAATCCATATTGAACAAGTCCATCATTTCTCTGAAGTGAGAAACTTATACAGATAAAGTTTAAATGAGTAAATGTTGCAGAGTTAGAAAACTGCAGTTTCGCATCTGAATTGTAATTTAATGATGTGATTTTAACAAATAGAAATATCAATTCGGTGTTGATTTAAAGATAAGTTTTTATACTGATCAACAAAATATACATTCACCAAATACATTGGTTGGTAACACTTGCGGACGAGCCAACAAACCTACCAAGACGTTGTTAGGAATAGTTAAGTAACGTTACATTACTACCAAGATCGCTGGGCATTGTGCAGATTTCTTTTTGAGTAAAGCCATTTATAGAATACAAGTATTATTGTTTTTCACTTATACTTTCGTACAAATATTTGTTATAACGAATATTTGTTACCCTATAAAACTGTAAACTGTAATCAGTTGGACATGTGCAGTGTAAGACCTGAATGTTTAAGGTAATGTACAGAACCGAATCTGTTCTTTTATATCTGAGTCTTGATCAGTCAACTTGCATCACCTCTACAAACTGAACCCTCTCTTAACTGGCAAAATATTCATGTCCCATGCATGGTCTGTTTGGAGAAGTTTCACTGTACAAAGAAAACTAGCGTAGAAAGACCAAAGTATACACTATGTTTCATGATCCTTGTCTAACTGTGGGTAAACTTTAAAGTTTGTACAAAATGGGGAATCGCATGGACCTGGTTACTGTAGTCTTACAGCTGGCAATCCCTCCCCAGAAACTGTCTACAGGTGTTTTCCCATCCTCCCACTTTGGCAAGTCAGCATCTGGGCATAACTGAAATTCTCTATATTCCTTCAGCAAGGGTGCCAAGTTGACCATCCTGAATGACAGAAGGAAATCTCTTCCCTATCTCCACAACATCTGCTGGATTTACATGATCCCGTGAGGAAGGCACAAGAAACTCAAGTTTGTTGATGACTGGGTCATGAAATGGGAATTTCTTCACCATCTTGTCCACAGCTGCTATGTAAAATCTCCTCACACTGCTGAAGAACCTTGCTGTGACTCCTTGAGTGTCTTCATCATGCTCACTTAGGTAAGCCCGAGTGCAAAGTCCAACAGCTAGGTATGGATCTTTCAGATGAACAGTGGTGTCTCTGTAAGGTACGGCTGTCACATCCTCTGCTTCCCTTATCGTCTTCGCCAAGACAAACTTTCCAAGCAGCTTCCTCAGGATTTGTTGCATCTCCTTCCCCAGGTATGGAAGACGAGTGTCATCTGCCTGGAACATGGTGTTGAATTCCACAAGGAGGGGGAGAATAAATTGCAGGAAATGGAAGTAGAGCAACATCTCAGGGTTAGACAACAGGCATACAAGCCTAAACGTAAACAAATATCGCATTACAGTATGAACTCACAACTTTGACCGTACGTGCGAGGTCGGAGCAGGACAGGTGAATCAAGCGATCTTACCTTACAAAAAGCATTTGTCTGGCTTGTCGAACTTTTCCCGACCCATGGAAATTCCTGTTCCCATGATAATTGGTACTTGGTGTCATATTTTCCACGTTTAGGGCTGGGTTTTGGCGGAGAAAGGACCATGATCAATTTGCAAGTTCTCAAAATGGCGGAAAGCGAAGAAACGATCAGTCTGTTTTCTGATTGGTTAAAAATCGTATGACGTCATCAGGAACTCCAAGTCGATTCTTATTGGTTAGAATCGGGAGTTTTCTCAAAGAAGTGGGAGGGATTCCCCAAAATCGGGAGATATCGCTGTTTTAAGACTCACGATCGGGAGTCGGGAAACGGGGTGAAAAATCGAGAGGCTCCCGCCTAAATCGGGAGGGTTGGCAAGTAAAGTCATGCTCTTGACACAAAAGGATGGATGGATGAACAAGGCAGCAACTATATGCTTCCCAAACAAATTTTCTGGAAGCATACTTAGGAATTGGATGTGGTGATGGGTTGACCTAACTTGGTTGGTCAATAATCTAATCAAGCATGACATATTCTAACAGGAGACAAAGAAAACACATGTATGATAAAAGTTATTAATTATGATTCATGTATGCTAATTACTTGTGCTCCATGACGTTTTCCTTTGGAATAGTCTTCCACAACTCAGCCAGCTTTTCCTGTGAATCAGTGGTCACCTCCATGGCCATGACAAGGAATCTGTCCTTACATATGGTGTTTTCAAAGCCTGCAACATTAATGTAAAGCCTGGCATGTAATTATTATCAATATAAACTTAAAAGGCAATGTACAGTAGAAAGGGTCTATAGCATATATACATATCCCTTCTCCTTGCAAACCAGAATCTGATCAGGATTTATACCTGATCTATCATATGAACTAAATCCGCTGAGAGGCTCTCAAGACAGGATATTCATTTGTGACTGGACAGGAAAAGACGTATGGTTGAGTAACACTATATTGCATGCCATAAAAAATGTGATAGAGAAATAATAAAGCACATGAGTGCCATCTGATGCATGTTTGCAAAATAGTACCAACCTGTTTCTAATCTAAATACTGTAACAGTACATGTAGTATGAATTTCTTTACAGTACAATTTCCCCAAAGTGATCTTTCTCAAAACCAATCATCTCTTGAAACCAAACGAAATGGAGGTGTACAGAATAGCATCCTCTGTACAAAAGGGGTTTCAGGCTCTTAATATGACCAAGGTATACACCACGTTTCATTATCCTATTGAAGATGCAAGCAAAGTTTGCTTTCGACATGGCAAATCTAACAAAGGGCTATAACTCTGTAACTGAGGGGTTGAGGGCCTTAAATATAATACAGTGCAACTTCCCCAAATTGATCCTTGTCAAAACCGATCACCAAATAGCAAGCATATTTTTTGTCCCAAATGGCCAAAATATATTGAAAATCACTTCTGAAAACAGGCCTTACCTGAACCATCAAGACCCTGAAAGCCGACTGGCAGACTGTGAAATCAACACCAGTAGTGACAGCTATATTCTATACATCCTTGGTCATTTGTCTGTCATTGTAGGCTTTATACACAATACCTACCCTGATTAGCAGGATTATAATTAACATAATGTACAGTTATCTCCAATGACAATTTGAAGCCATATGGAACTGACCGGGGCTACGTCAGGCCATATGTAACTTTGCATCCAAGACTGGGCAACACTTAGATTTTCTAGATTTCTTTTCAACTACAGCCACACATTATTATCACCGTTTAACCACTTCACCAAAATATTTTTTCACTTTAAAACTTATTGCTCTGTTTTCAGTTGGACGTGCGATAAAAATGCTGGAAGTGAACGGAATAGTTAACGTAATGTAAAGTACAGAATCAATTTGATTACATCCCAATCCCTAAACTGACCAAATATTCATGTTCCATGTATGGTTGGCTTGGACAAGTTCCACTGATTTTTTAAATTCTTGTTGAACTTATTTTTCTACTGGAAAAGACTTTATATATAACAGAAGGGTGTGTATATCATTTGCATTCCCACCTTGTTGTAAGTACACATACACCACAACAGTACTTCCAGGCTTGGCCACACCAAAACATGGTCGCACTTTATACTTTTCAGGAGATGTTGTCTTTACCTGAAAAAAACAAAATATCAAGTTAATTAAACCCATGAACATCTATATTCCATTTCTTCAAAATCTCCCCAAATCATTCTTTCTATATCACTTGTTATATCTAAGACATCATATCACTTACTTTGTATGCAATTGGGTACGGTAAAGTGTTCTTCAGTGATATGGTATCATATGCTTCTTTTCCACTTTCATCAATGATAAATTCTAGTTCTTCAGCAGGACTGTAAAACACAACTCAATCATGCAACTAACAAAGGAGGGGAGACAAATCATTGCCAACAGTATATGAAGAAATGTGGTTATTTTTTTCAAAATAGAAATTTCATGAAAACTACCAGAACACTCACCCAATGTCTTTTCAGGTCATTAAAAACTTAGACTTTACAATTTCTTAAGCTTTACTTATCTAAGTTCTTTGAAACTGTGTTTGCTACACAATATGGTTGTCAAGATTGTGTTCTTTTTACTTAATCATCTGGCATACAAAACTGATATGAAATCTTTTACAGGGCGATTCAAATCTGATCAACACCAATTACAACTCTGGCTTCGAATATTACATAACTAAAACATACCTGATGGTCAGCAGCCTACCAATGAAAGAGTTATCTGCCCCTGAATCCATCTTTCCAGTGGTCCCACGTATACCTATTTTCCTTGTGCTCAGACTCTGAAATGACAAAATGAACAATCAGTACATGTTGTTAAACATTATAAATAGCCATCACTTCCTTGTGAGTCATAAAATGTGTTTCTAACTATCAATTTTAGGACAAAATAGGACAAACCTCCTTCTCTACACTCATTGTGCAAGTCAATATTCAGGCAACATATTTTCCATGGTGATATTTTGTGTCAGTTTTAAATGTAGAGTACTGATATACCTTGTAAATAATCTAATGATCATATTAGAGTAACAGGTGTTTTCAACACTGACTTCCTCATAAGATAAATAATGTGTTCAGGAAATGTTTTTTTCTAAAATTCACCTTGTAACTTATTTCAGCGACTACATACTCTATGATGATATGTAAGAGTTTCCTTATTTAAATAATATATTGTTGCTGTGTTCAAGTTCAGGTGGATTTTTTCTCATGATAATTCTATTCTTCTGTACGGACAAGTCAGATCCTCTTTCAGTTGAAAGCACTACATAACTGTATACATACATAATTTGTCAAATATGCCATAAATGTTATGTCAGGAATTTCTGGTTAACATGCAACATTATCCAAATCCAAGCAACTGCAATGTTTGTAAATATAACATATAAAAATATACTGTCAGCTTAATCTGTGTACCACTACAATCTGGTTTTAGCTACTTAACAAGTCAGAGATGGGATTCGCTCCCCGAATGGGACAAAATTTAAGGATAAAAAATAACAAAATACATTAACTCCAAAATCATGAGAGTGATAGGTCTTGTGCACTGCACTTCTCCTTGCTGAGATCTATATACCTATGAAGTTTCATGTTGATTCCTCTTTCAGTTTTTGTGTAATTTGTAATTGTGAAAAATATGACAAACAGACAAATTGACAACTACATGCTAGAGCATAAAAATCATTTTTCAAATGAAAGAGTCTATTTCATCTATGGCCCAAACTGATGACTTCAAAAACTTAAAATGAGTATGAAAGACTGTCTGTAATCCTCAACCGTCCGATACCCAAACCCAAAACCTGCTACACACACTTTAATAAAAAGGTGTATTGTGATCATATCTATGATGTTACTAGCTATGTTAGTTTCATTTTTAGATATGTTTTCTTATGTGTCTTTAAGACTCTTACGGTAACTGATTATCATGATCACTTGTTTAGGACTTTTAGATAAACCGAGCATAGACCTCAGAATAGGTATCAATGATTTCATAATTCTGTGTGTTCCACCATATTGTCCCATCTCCGAGAATCTTCTTTAAACCAGAGCAGTGCTAGTTCCTGATTAATGGAAATCTCAATCTGAATATTTCCTTAAACAACTAGTCTTTGGTAAGCTTTTAGTATAGTACTTCATTGTCTCATAGAGACACTATGCATGCATTGTTTATAGCATACGAGTGCCACTAGGTGTCACTACCACTACAGAAAGCTAGCATTGGTAGCAACAGCGGTGACAATAGGCTAAAAGTGGAACTGTGTTATGTAAGCCAAAACAAACATAAATTAGATCAATAAAGAAATATATGTATACTTATAACTAACACTTTTGCCGTGTGGTGTGTCTGGAGATCCATCCCCATCTGTAGTTTTAGCAGACTCTGCAAATGTCACCTGTAACAGTAATTTTCAGTGCTGTATAACAATGTGTTACATCTACTTCAATATTAGTGTACATATTAGTAATATCTGATAAAGCCACATCATGAGTTAAAATGTAATATGTGGCTTAGCCATCAATCAACAAGATGACGGAAGAAACATTATCCAGAGAGACATCTTTAAAACAATGAAACCTCTGAGTGTGATCTAGCATATTTCAGCATTGCATGCATCTACCACAATGTAGTAATATTCTGGAACAAATCAATAATTATTCCTAGAAGACTGAGATGTATCCATGAGACAAGAGGTTCTGACAGAATACAACATATTGAACTTTTACAGAGTAAATCTTAACAGAGATAAAAACTGAACCACAAATACCAAACAAAAAACCAGGAGTTTAAAATGTGAAAAAATGTGAAAAACACAATTTATGTTCTGTGGAAACATATTTATGTAATACACTACAAATTTACTCTGTACATAAATAATCAATAAACTAGTAGCTGAAAACTCTGCTGAAGCAAGACTCCTTGTCTGCCATGAAAATACCCTAGGGACATCTGGGAAAACAAAATCAATGTAACCTTAATCATTCATAGGAGTCTGTCTACAGTTACACTATACAGTGTACACACTGTACTGTGTATAGATTATAGTATGTCAAGTGGTATTGACAGTACAACTTCAAAGTATTTTATAAAATATTGCTGATAATGTTTTATCTCAATAGATTCGGATGTAAATACAAATAAAACCCTTCAATAGTCATATGAATTATAAATATATGACATGTAAAAATGCTAACAGTTATACTTCAATGATAGGGTTCATAATTTTAGAGTGATAAATGAAATGCTAAATATTAAGCTTGAAATTTTATTTGCATATTACACATATGCTAATAAATTATGTAGAACACATGTACATTACCAAAAACAGAATAATTTCCCCCCATAGTTAACTCTAGTATTGATTCATACCTCCCCAGCATCTGCCATCTTGTTTCCAAGCATCAATCAGAGACAATGGTAAGGGGAGATAATGTTGTCTTTTGTAACAAAGAACTATAACTCCGTTGACATTCTTTGTCCCACATAGAAACATTTTGAAAATAACAATACAACAAATTTCAATCATTTTAGTAATATTTCATTAATATCACCAAAATGATTAGGATTACTGATATACAACATAGATTTTTTTGTTTACATAATATAAGGCAAGCTGACAATTTTTTATTGTAAAATCTGATGGTTTTATTTGAAAATGTTCTAAATAACTATTTATCTGGGTAACCATTATCTGTTTCATTTGGAAATTTACCTGCAAAATTCCTCAATTTATCATTTATGAATTTGTCAATTATTTAAGGTGGGGATGTTGCCGTGGTAACCAAGATCAACAAAAGGGAGATAACCAATTCTAGAAAATGACTGCAAATAATTATTTTAATATCAAACCCAATATCTATTGAAAGAAATCCAGGAAAATGTATTTCTAATACCATTTTTCCACTGAATAATAATGAAGTGCTTATATTAAAGTCAAACTTGTCAAATCTTGCTATAAAATGAACAATTATGAGACGAAAAACAGTCACAACAATATTATTAAAGAAAACTGAGAATATTGTTATCAAATTGACAAAAAGAAAAAGCAATGCCACAAAAAGAAGTAAAAACATATCTATAAGAAATTAGTTTAAACATTAATATTATTTATTCATATTTTGTTGTTATTTTCCAGTTATTTACAATTATTAAAACAATCCATTCTTCTACTTTTCATAGTGCATCTCATTATTTTTTTCTCTTATATATATATATAAAGCATCTCCTGTATGTAGACAGAATGATATGGCATGTATGTGTATTTGGCATAAGAATTAATCCATATAATAAATATAGGAGAGATTCAAAGATTCAAATTCCAAGAAAAAACTTTAAATATCAAAATTAAAAGAATTTTTAGACACAGCAATTCTTACAATATTTCTATCAAATACTGGAAAAACATATACCAGTTTTAATTACAAATGATACAAGAGTACAAACTGCAACACATGCTACACTAAATAAAACAAAGAAACCCCTATAAGTTATAATCATATTTAGGTAGGCGCAATGGTACAGAAGTCATTAAATTGCTGATAAAGATGTGACTTTTTTTCTTATTTTTTGTTAAAAACAGGAAAATGTGTAATTAAAATCTGAAAAAATGTCTGAGGTTTGTGTGTATCTGCTATACAAGCATTCATTGAACTGTGATCTGTTATAATAATCATAAAGTGTGAACATTTTTGGATGATTTTATCTTAAAATGAAATAATTCTGTTATTTTACGGTCTTTTAATGCCAAGATCTTTGTGATCTCTAATTTTCAGAGCACTTTTCTTCCCCAAATATCAATCCCCAGATGTGAAGAATGAAGAATTCATTAAACAGCTCATAAAAAAAAATTATATATATATATCAATCTGTTGATTCATTTATAACACAAAACCAGCACAAAAACAATGAGATGTCAAAAAATATGCATTACACATAATAAAATATGTGAAACTTTTATTGATAATTGAACAATTAAATATCTACACTTTTTTGTCTTATTGCTGGAGCTGAAGAAGGGAAACACTTACAGGTTAAAGGGCTTTTGACCAGTGAAATCGTATCACATATAGGAACATACAAAGTAGTTAGAGTAGTCTCTGAAATGTTGTTGCATTCTATATATGTGTGATGTGCAGGGCATTAACTTGTGTAACTTTGTGTGTGCAGGATGTGAATTAACTGAAACTTATAATCAAACACATCGAGCAGAGCACTTTGATACATATATCTATATATGTGTGTGTACTGTTAAAGCACATGTGCACCACAATCAACACTCAGATGTTAACAAAACTGATTAAGGCATTAAAGATGATGTAAAGATTAACAGGTAACAGGTTCTGATTGAAATCAAGACATTTATTCTTAGTTGTGAAGCTCAGAGGGTTAAAATCATTTTCGCTCCTTGCACCCCTGGAACATGCCATAGTAAAATTGAAGGTTCAATGTGTGTCACCTTGTGGACAAGACAAAAATTAGCTTGATCCTTTGATGTACATCAAACCAATCCAGAGGTTGAATAAGGGTATATTACAATAGCTTTGGAGTTGTCTGTTTTCTCTTGTACAATCTTCAAAAGGTGCATATCAACCTGTGATTGGTCATTTTTTCTCCTGGAACCAATCAAATTACTTTTCTTGTGCCTTCAATTTTGCCATGATATGCTCCTGGGGTGCAGAGAGTGAAAGTGATTGTAACTGCTGGAGTATCACACATGAGTACTAGTTTCCAAGCTTGTAAGGAATAATTCAGGTTTAATATTTGGGCTACAAGTGACTTCAGAATTTATCTTATTACTTTAATTGTTTAACCGTAACATTATGTCATTTTTTAACTGTTGTTATTACAGATACAATATGTTTTTTTCTGAGTTAATTCATTTCACACATTCAAATGTTATAACTCTTGCTGTACAATATCTGTACAATATATTTTCAATTGTAATAAAGAACCCCATTGGTATAAAATGTACACCAGTTTTTGGTGTGTCTACATGCTTACCTTGGGTTGTGGTTGGGGGATCTATCAAACAGTACATTTCAATCTATTAGTTCATCTAACTTTTAGTTGAACAATGATAAATGTTTAAATGTGAAAGGTTTTGAAATTCCATTTATGATCTTTAATTCAGAATATTTTACATTAAAAAATTCTCAAATATTTCAAAGATTTGATATGGACTAATGTCCATACAACTGATTAATAAGTGGATTAATCATAACCAAATTATTTATGTCCATATTTGTTGAACTGAATCAATATTTTAGCCTGCTCTTATCTGCTACAATTTACTGAAGTGTTCACAGTCTGTCACAGCCATTTGATTTGATCATGTTAACAGAGATGAATGACTTCTTCTATACTTTATTACATCAAGCTACAGACAAACTTCAGTAAAAACTATACAGGTCATAACTCTTTAAACAGTATGGTACATTTTCCAACTTCAGTGAGATCACTCCACTGTTCAATAATGATTACTCACAAAATGTCTTCTAGCCTGATGTATAAGTAATCAGTTCCATTTTCATGCCTAATTATATAATATATACATGTCACTGGCAGATTATCAGTTTTAATTGGTTGCACAGTGGATCCCACTTATTATAACATCAGTTATTGTGATATCCTATTTATAACAATATTCTTTCTATATATCAAATATTCCTTATTAAAATTAAGGAGAGAAAAACATTTAATATGATACAGTCCAATGTGAGATATCTGTTATTATAAGATTTTTTCTGTCCATAATTGATTTTCATACACAATAATCCTAACCTGTATTTTACATCTTGGCTGTTCCCTGTGATACAAATTATTTGCTACTAATTCCTGCTCAAGGCATCACGAGGTAGCCTGTACCACCTGTTATTGGTAAGTTTCACTGTCAGTAAACAATAAAGATTAAGTGGTCTACCTGTGGTCACAATTTTCAAAGTCATATTACATAGATAAGACTCCCAGTTATGTCCAAACAATTATAACAAGAAAGACAGAGATAAGACTAAAGTTACTAGAAAACAGCCATTTTGTATTGCTTTGGAACAGCACCAGTCATAATTTTATAAATGTTCACATATTTTCCTAATTAGCAAGTGTTTTTAATAACCATACCTTTCCTGTTCCCTAAAGAAAAAAAAAGTTTGATGTCTCATGTTTTAGCAGTAAGAGCCAGAAATGGGTCAATATTGACATCAGTGTCGTGTACACTTACAGAGTGATGTGTTCACCATATATGATATTTCATATCAATACACTCTCAAAGGAACTAGTTAAAAATTTATCACATCAACTTGGAGTATTATGTTATTTTCTTTATAAAAAATTGCTTAGGTAGCATGACCTTTGACTGTCACATGATCGTGTTGCTTTTCACGAGGCAAAATGGTAAAACTATTGACATTTACAGGAGCCAGGCAACATGTTTTGTTAGCAAAACAGCCAAATCATGATAATTCATAAAACGGTGGCAATTACTTTCATATGTATACCTTTTCTGAATATTGCATTACAGTAGTCTATTCTACTTCAGTTTAAATCAGTTTTTAGAAACAAACCAAAACTGAAAGTAGAAATTAACTTGTGTACCATTTGAATGTATTCACAATGACTGAATAATCAGGTTTGATTAAAGAAGTAATTCATATTGATTTTAATGGTTACAAAATACAAATATTATAATTACATTGCTTTCCATCATAGTTTTATTTAGTAATAGGCTTGACTATTGTGGTAGTCTGTTAACTTCGGCTCTTGGTTAGTACCTAAATAGCCTGCTCGGTTATAATATCCATGTACCAGTTATTAAAATATACTAGATATTATAATATTTTGATGTGAAAAATAAAATATCATAATAAGTGGGTTTCACTGTATACGGAACAACAGCAAAATAATTGACTGTGCTGCTTTAATCCAGCATATATCAAGTTTGAAAAGGATTTATTTATTACAAAATTTGAATCTGTTTATCAGAATCATACCTTATCATAAAACATTGTACAAGAAAAATACTTCCAATAGAGTGAGTCCCTCAACATTGTTGATCAGTGCCTGCAAGGTTGAGGACACCTTAAAGTGATAATCATGAACAACGTATACCAGAAGTTAATCAAATCTGTAAAAAATTTAAAGATAAAGTATCCATTGAATAAAGAGGAAAATAAGAATGCCAACTCACCCTTTTTTTCAGTTTGTTTTCATCCTCTCCCCTTTCATCTGGTGGGATATATTTAAACACAAATTTGTCCTAAAAAGAAAACAATGTGACTCTTGTAAATACAAGCAATACACTATATCTCATAAATCTGAAGCACATCGCAGAATATTTTTAAAACAGCACAATATTCAATAGATGAGTATTTACTGGGATTACACACAACTACAAGGGTCTGATTTCCAAAATCTCAATGTTTTTGATGTATTTTATGCTGACGTTTGCTTACTAACTGTGTAATTTCTCCATAATCTTAAATATAACATGAAGCTATTTATTCAAGGACTTGTAAATGTCATTTGAAGCATTTTAACAATATACTCTCCCCATCAAAACCTGCAATAACTTTAGCTCTCTAAAGTAGCCCATGTGATCTACAGAAATATGCATTCAGTAGCTAAAGAAATATAACCAGTGACTTTCCTTCCTTATATTCACCTCATTTTATATAGGCCCTATCTCAAATTGTGTGTTTTTTTCATTTTTCTCCAATTATTTTAGCCTTTAGAATTCCGTAGATCATTAATCAGAAATTATTTTATGAGTCTGGCATTCATATTCTCTATTTCATCACTAAAAATTCTTAATTTGCATCAGCTGGCAATTTCAGAAAATTGAGATAATCAATGACAGCTGATGGAGATTAGATGTTAAAGAGCAACAAACTCACAGTGCCTCCCATGTGTTCCATGAGTTGGTCCTTATTGATGTATTCCTGGATGTCACTTTTGCCTACAAATTTGATTTTCTTTATCGCCTGTGGACTTAACCAGGCTTTGATGATCTTCCAAGCAGCTAAAACAAAATAACATGCAAATTGTTACCAATCAAAATTGCTAATCTTAGATTCAACTCATTATTCATTCACTGTAGAAAGAGAGAAAGGGGAAGAAGGAGATATTATATCAAGCATTTTGATCTTTAACAGCTAGTGATTCCAAGCTAGACAGCTGAATTTTGCCCAGAATGATTCGGATGGCATTGTATATGATGAACCACATTCTGTTACATATAGCTTTTCTGACAGTCAGTTTTCACCCTATTCAGAAATTTTGCTATCTTTTTAAAGAAAAATATTTTTAGAAATAAGATAAGAAAGTTTTGATACCTGAAATTACAAAACACAAAGCATATACTTTACCATTGAATAACCAGGGCATCTCATAAACCAACATGTATCCTGAAAGACAACAGAAAATATTTCAACACAAAAAAAAATAGTGAACAATCAAACACTATGCAATGTTGAGATCAATCGAGCTTAAGCTCTGAATATGGATTTTAAAATCAATCTTCATCTAGGAATCTTCTTTGATATAATCTGCTACCATAAATAGAAATATTTAAAGTTGGTTAATTTTCACAAACAGGAAAATATTAATATGTTGTCTTTTTATTTTGCAAATAAATATATGATTCTTTTACAAATATTTGAGCCTAGCTAAATAAATCCACAAAAAAACAACAAATGTATATATGGTATGAAAATATATATGCCAAAATTAAAGTGAAACTGAACAATTCCTTACTTTCATATTTTTATATTTCAAATATTACATCTCTGGTCATACAAAAGGAATTATAACTGAACAGTTTATTCTTATTCAAAAGTAACAAATAAGCAGAGCAGATCTAGTGGATTTGGTTATCTTCATTTGAAGCATACAACAATGGCATTTTAAAATTTTATTTGAGAACTGATCATGAACAGCAGAATGTATTTTGAGCACCTATATGATCCTACAGTATCTTCTTTCTCTTACCTAGCAGGCTTATAAATGTATCAAAAAGCCATAAAGATGATTTCATTTACCTTCATGGAGGTCAGGTAGAGAAATTTTACTTACCTAGAAGAACTGGATAATAAACTTTAAAGCAAGTGATCACATATTTGATCAATTCCATGTCCTGCAATAAACATAAAGTGCTTAAAATCACTACATAGCAGCTGCTAATGATAGGACAGAATTTCAGAATCTGTAATAGTATTCTAATCAATTAAAATATATAATAATTATAATAGATATTAACATCATCCACTATTAGTTTTATCAGGGTTTTTGTTTACGTTAGTAATTTGCAAAATAGTAAGTACTTCAATTGTATTCAATTGATATTTCATTAAACAAGAAATACTAGAAGGATCTTGCCGTCCACCATTGTTTGATCCTTATATGCTCTTTGAAAGTTGGATCTTTCCCTTCTTTTCTCTTCTCTGTTTTAACTCTTAATGATAAGACATTTGAACATTCCATTGCAGAAATAAATGATAATCTTTACTTGCCAAATCCAAAATGGCCACCTGGAAGCCATTTTGTTTCTTCTGATCAGTTCAAAAAGCAAACAAGCACAAGGAGAGATCAAAGGGAACACAGGCATGAAATTTGACAGATAACCATTCAGTACTTCTTCAGAAATATAAATAACACTTTTTACTAGGCAAATCCCAAGATGGCTGTTTGTCAGCCATTTTCTTTTTCTGATCAGTCCCAAATTCAAAAAGGCACAGCTAGGGACCTAAAGAACCCTATACATGAAATTTGAGAAAGATCTGTAAAGTAGTTCTCAAGAAAAAGCGATAACAAACTTTCTAAATCAAAATCCAAGATGGCTGCCTTTCGATCCTTTTATTTTCCTGATCAGTTCCAACATTACATGGACACAATAAGAGACCAAGGGAAATCTACATATGAAATTTGAGAGAAATTCATCTCTTAATTTTCAAGAAATAGATATAACAAACTTCATTGAAAAAATCAAAGATAGATGCCCCTCGGCCATTTTGTTTTCTTTATCAATCCCAAAATGAAATGGGCACAACAAGGGACAAATGGGAACCTACATATGCAATTTGAGAAAGATCCATCAAGGACCTCTCAAGAAAAAGCGATAACAATAATTGTAAACATGAACAACGGACGGCCCATGGACCACGGACCATGGATGTAGAGCAATTTTAATGGCCCACCATCATCAGATGGTTGTCTAACAAAGGTAAAAATTAAGGATGACATCTCTTCACACATGATTACCAATGATATATTGCTACCTACAGGACATTTAAGAAATAAGAAATGTAACTGGCAGTTTTGAACCTCTTATGTTTATTTCCTGCAAAACTTCCTGTATATAGCAATTTCAAGGAGTTGTGTAATATCTGTTCTTTTATCATTAATATCATATTGCTTTTGCATATAATTACTTATTGATCATAGTCTTACTTTTTTCCTTTTTTTGTTACAAATTTTGACTCAAATATTGTGTAAATTGCCATGTAGTATATTGATATGGCACAATGAGCAGGGACTGTAAGTTACATCTTAATTTAAATGTAACAAACCCTTCATTTGATCTCTTTTTCTTACATTGGTATCAAGCCAACCTCCGATAAATTTCTTCACTTCAATGAATACATGGGCAGATAAAAAGGTTTTGTGGATAAGCCAGCGCATGTGTACTCTGAGGAGGTGATTCAGGACTATCACATAGAAACTAGACTAACAACATTGTTACTTACCAAATTTGACAAACCTGCCTCTGACATGTCAAATAGCATCACAATCTCTTTTGTTGGCTCCTCCTTATAAATAGCCTCAAGGTGATATGCAAAAAATTTCTTAACTCCATGAAGCTTTTCAGTGTCTTTCTTATGTAGCTTTACTCTGATAATCACTGGAAAAACAAATTGGTATTTGTAAACTATTATTTACAGCTACCATGAGAGTAGTTTTCTGTTGTCACATTAAGAACTTTTTGGAATCAAAATTTTAACAAAAAGCAATAATTCTGTAATGAATGGGTATTACGTCCTGACTTTGCTACACTGCACATCGTCTTTGTATGACCAATGTATACACCAATTTACAAAATCCTAATTTGAATGCAAGCAAAGTTATGCTCTAGACAAGAAAATTAAACAAAGGTCAATAACTCTATAATTAAGGGGTTGTGGGCCCCGACTTCAAAACATCAAATTGTCGTATTCCTTAATCTGATAGTGAAAGTCCTTTTAATTTTAATTTAATTCAGCATAATTACAATGGCACAAAAGTCTTATCAACTTAAACATGCTTCTCAAGTCTAACAGAGAGACCAACAAGCTAAATCCAGACAGAACTTCTTTTTTCTGATTGATAACACAAAAAAGAAGCCCATGGGACCTATATCATTCACCTGGTTTATTTGCTGACATTGACTCAAACTAAAGGAAAGGTATCTAAAACACTTGTATCCGTTTCCCTCCAATAGACTCACCCCTCTCGCAAAAGATGCACTATTGGTGCAAAACTAAGTACTCTTCACCAAGGATGTCTTCAGTTCCAAAAAAAGAAGGATTTTAAAGAATTTGTGCTTTCACATATTGGGCCCTGCCCCTAATGTCCCAAGTGGCAGAGACCTTAAATTTATACAAAATAGACTGCTACTGACTGAGTCATCATGGTATAAGACCTTTTAGTTTTGTTACCTATGTGTTATTTAAATTTTTCTTCAATGATATGCAAATAATCTTAGTATTATGTTGTACACGTAACTTACAAACTCTCCTGCCGTCTTTGTCATGGTTGCACCAAAAAATTGCTCCAACGTCAAATATCCATCTGTCAAACATTGTTTCGCGCAAATCTGCAACAAAATATGCCTACACATCACATCTTGAAATAAAGAGCAGAGCAATGTCTTCAAGCTTTTGAATTACATTTACTACTAAGAAAATATTCAACATCAAGAACTCCAAATCTTATATATTAATAAAATATAAAGTTAACTAATAAACAATATCAGGTAAACGTACCAAACTTGTTCGGTGGTACAGTAAAACAGAATGTATGTAAAATCTAAGCACCAGCTTCAACCTGCTGCAAGATTAACCCATGGCTAGTAAAATTTGATTCATGCAAGATTATGAAAATTAGAGGGAAAAAAATAAATAAAAATAGCATATGTAACCTTCACTGTATGATAGAAAGCACTGTAATTAGGGAGATTACCTGCCAACATAACTTCTGAAATTTTGATGAGTTCTCTCATATTCAAGGGATATAGCGGATTCCAAAAATGTGCAGTGTGGGTGAGTCCCACAAAAATGTACATTAGCGAAGAAATAATGAGTCCTAAAATCACTGCTAATAGTTCTACAAGTTCTATATTATATAGCCATCAAATGATATTTGTAGCAGTATGTATGATACAGTGCCACGAAGAATTTAGATTTGAAAAATAATTCATAATCTAGTATTTCCATGATCTTTTTTGAATAGTAACCAAGATTTATAACCACTGGCCCAGTGAGGCCAACCTCTTGTCAAATTATATCTCATCATGATCATGGACTTCAAAATCAAGGGTGACAGAGTGTTTTAAAAGGTGATAATGTAAAAAGAAGTTATAATCAATTATAACATATAGTTATCACATCTACAGTATACATATTACCTGTAAGATAAAAATAAATGTTCTATGTTATGTTTGAATATTATTTTGATGATATTAGATAAAAAAATTAACTTAAAACTTTTAAATATAACATGGTAAAGGAATATTTTATGATTCTAGCATCTAACACACTTTGAGAAGGTCATGATACAACCAATATAAGGTTGACCTGATGAAATCAGGCAAGTTAGAAACATTGCCAGTCCTTTACATAGACATGCATTTTGCCATAATATATCTAAACATACAAACATATATGGTGATTATGTCTGCATTTTTAAATTTTGATTTAGGGTTCCTTGACATACTTTTTGCAATGAATTTCTATATATCCTGATATCTTACCATTTATTTCTAATTCTTTTCTCCATTTCATTGTCTCATGAAGTCTGTTTGCTGCCTCTTCCAATGTCTCAAAGTCTCTGATAAATTGTCGGACGTATAAATCATTTGAAGCCACATTGTCGACATCTCTTTGATCATAAAGATTCTTCTCAACAAAATCTGTGACTACAAGAAAATAAATAAAATTGAAGTTTTAATTTAGAAACATTCCTTATATTTTCAATGTAAAGCTAAGACTAGACTAGTAATAACTGATCACAATCAAATGATTAATACAATTATACAGCATTATAGCTTACTAAAACAATACTGAAAAGAAAAGTATTGCCTTCATTTTTGAGTGAAATTGTGGGATAGGCTTAAAGAATTCATCTTAATACATACTTGTAAAAAATGCAGAATCAGCCTTGAGAGAAAAAAAATCTGATATCTGTGTCCTATTGCATAATTGTCTTACTCTTTTACTAGTTACAGGTCTATAGTCATGAATTTTTAAATTTCTAAATTATTCCTGACCATTACAGCCAGACTAAATGAAATAGATTTGTTTTAGTAGTTTCTGAAATCTGAGCTGCAAGTTGACAGGATAATGTAAGGAAGAAATAAAGCTTACATTTACACAGAAGTCCGTATATGATTACTAAGCAATGTAGTTAAATTATATACACACGTCATATATACTAAAACGAAAAAGAAACACTGTGTAACCTAAAAAGATTCTTTTAAATGATATAATTTAATGTTACATTATTTCATTCATTTTTGTATACAATTTCATCTGTTTGGAACCATTTGTTGAAGGTTCTATCGATTATCAATGCTAATTATGCCAAAAATATCCCCCTTTTAGCGATGACCCTACTTGTATTGCGCAACACGGCCGGACATTTCAGTATCTTGTGTGTCCTCCATGCACAGCTGTCGCAGCCCTGATTCTTCTATGCATGGAATTCATCAGGGTGTTAACCCTTGCAATTGGGATGTTATTCCATTCTTCATGCAAGGCACGTGTGAGCTGGACCAGATTAGTGGGGGCATTTGGACGTCTCCTAACTCTCCTATCCAATTCGTCCCACAAATGCTCAGTTGGAGACAAATCTGGACTGAATGCTGGCCAATCGATTGGGATTACGTTATTGTTGGCAAGAAATTGCTGACAAACTCTAGCGACATGGGGCCGGGCATTGTCTTGCTGGAATATCAGGTTCCATGCTTGCACACATGGCACGGCAACTGGGCGAAGGATTTCGTCTCTATACCTTACGCCGGTTAAATTATCGTCAATCACGATCAGGGGTGATTTAAACCCATTGGAGATACCGCCCCAAACACATACTGAACCACCGCCAAACCTATCCCGCTCAGCGACGCACGCGTCGGTGTAACGTTCCCCTCGACGTCGATATACACGACGTCGCCCGTCCGAACGGTAGAGAGTAAACCGGGATTCGTCAGTGAAGAATACCCGTCTCCATTGCCTCATAGGAAAATTTCTGGGCAAGTGTGCTTGTAACCAAGCCAATCGGCGTTGGCGACTCGCAGGAGTTAGGGGCAGACCAACATAGGGACGTCGTGCTCTCAGGCCATTGACGCGTAAACGGTTTTGAACCGTATCAGGATGAATATGGCGGTTATGACTGCCTATAGTGTTATTTGCAGTTTCGGTAGCTGTGAGATGGCGATTACATAAGTGAGAAAGTCATATAAACCGATCCTGATGTGGCGTCGTGACGCGCAGACATCCACTTCACGGTCGGTCGATGACCCTCCCCGTCACTCGCACACGTTGGACAAGACGTTGAATTGTCCGAATGTGCACACCAAAATGTGCAGCAACCTGAAGTTGGCCCTGACCCTGCAAAAGCATTCCTATAGCTAGTCCCCGCTGGACCTCTGTCAATCGTGGCATGGATGTAAATTGCTTAATTCGAATCAAACTTTGAAAAATCAATCCGAATACTTGAACAGTATCAAATAGACTGTAAATTTCCAATGGCGAACTCAATGACCTTCCCCTGCACAGGATGCTTGTATTTTAGCACGTGCCTCGCACGGAGCGTGGAGGTCAGGTATTGTGTGATTTTAAACACGTGTACCTAGTGACCGCGAACAACACATCAACCTGACCGAGTGTCCTTATTCTAGGCTAAGCAATAAATCATTTGTAGTATATTTAGTGTACCCGGCGTTTCTTTTTCGTGTTAGTATATATGAAGGTGTTTCTGAAGCTGATCTTTAGGGATTCAACATCTGATCTCGGTGACAGCTAAAGAGCTGTCTGAATGACTGAAAGTTGACAATGTAATGATGTTTGATGAAGTCTGGTAGCAGTTTTTGGGCATGATATGTGGTGAATCCTATACCAAATTAATGAATATATTTTCATTTATTGATTCAGACCAGTACCACCTGGTATCCCATTTCTATGGTAAAATCTGCTTTCTATGGACTTTTCATAACTAAAATGGATCTACGAAAGGATTGTCTTATCTACAGATCAAATCAAATGAATATATAGTTTCTGATTCCTGACTCTCTCTCTCTTCAACCTAAACACACAAATATTATGTTTACATTTATTTATTGGCACTGCATGCATCCCAGTCTGGAATAGCCCGACCTCGTACATAGTAAGCAATGCTAAGCAAAAGGCTAGGTAAGGGGTGAGCATCTACAGGTATGGGAGTGTCGACCACCTGAGACATGTTATATATCTTCCGATAGTGACGACAGGGCACGGATGTAAACAATAATTATGACAGTTTACCTCACAGTCAACACCAACATGAACACTGTAACAGACAATGATACAATCAACCAAATCTTGCTTGTTTGTCCGAAGTGACAGATATGTATCTGAACCGATCATAATCTTCCCGCAGAATAACTGTATCCAATGAAAGGGATTGTAGTTAACTCACAATAGTGTTCATTTGCTTGTTTCATAATAAACTGTATGTGATAGACCTGACATTAGATTATGATTTGACTAAATTTCTCCACTGCACACCATTATTATCATTTTCTGAAAAATTCGGGATTTTTATTCAAAATCAGTTGGGATGCCTGTACCACTCCCAGGAAATGATGATTAAATTAACTATTCAATGACAATCTCAAGTTTCCATGACGTTTGTTTTTGTTAGACCAATGGAGTTACTTCTCAGTAATGCAAGATGATCGTATTGACAAATAAGGGTACATTATGTACCTATGTATGTATATAAACAATTATGTCCAAGAAATGACAATGGGGTGGGGTAGATATACGTTACCCTATCTTGTTTCCAAATTTTGACTACTTAATACTTATGTCTATTGTAGTTTTGATATACAACTTGTAATTAAATGATGTTTACATTAAACCAAAATGTCTAATGGCTTGTGATGGGCTGTTAGGGTAATATTTAAGCACACGGATTAGTTATAATGATAACAATATAAACACTGATAAACGAGATTGGTTGCATATACACATACACCTATATATGCGACCCATCTTATATATTACGCCATTTGTAATGTATCCCTGTAGCTTATGCTTAAACTCGTACCAGTACTTGACATAGTCTTTAAAAGTCTCTTTAAAAGTCCGTAAAGAAACAGTGACGGCTATAGACATGAAGTATATATCTTGATAGACAGATGTCAAGTGTGAGACATTCTCGTCAAAAACAACTAACGTGTTGGTATTGCTGCGGCAGTCCCAATGGAATGTTGTTATAACCGAAAGACAATTTTCACATGAACGACATCATTCTTACAACTCGTAACATTTTCAAATGGAAAGAAATCCAAAATAGTGAAAGCATCAGATCATATGATGTAACATTTACCGTTATATTTGTCGTAGAACACTTTTCGAAGTTTACCAGCATTAGATGAATGAACCTGAAATGAAAAAGGATATATGTTTTAACTTAACATACACGAAAAAGATGAAATTCAAGTTTTAACATATAATTTTGGAAAGAAACTTTACTTTTCTGGAGTCGCCGTCCGCCATATTGTATCGTCTGCTGACTTCCGCCACAGCGCCACCTTACAATAGGATAAATCAAGGGGCTATATAACGTTGTACTTTTTCAACTCAAAATCGTCCTATGAAAGGCCTAAAGGCCATAATTGAGGACGTTAATCCCCTAATAATAATAATAATCAACTCAAAAACTTCATGTCAGATTGAAGAAGAAAGAACATATATAATCCCCCTGATCACTTAGCTATTGATATCACAACGCCGAATTCCTGATATAAAGCAAAAACTATTTTAATAATCTTTCTGCATCAAACGATATTTCCTTAATATGAAAGTGGATTTTTTGTGATAGGGAAGTCTTATTTCACACCTAAAATTCCCCTCGGTTTCTGATGTCACAACATCCTTCCGATTTCTTTCTGTTTTGTTAATATTGACACCAAAGTATAATTTTCTATAAGAAAATATGGATTTTCCATATAAATACTTTTTGACACAAGTAAATAGCCATCGATTGCTACGGATACAATTAATTTGAGCAGATGTAAAACATTTTTTTTTAATAAACATGAAATTGTGATATCGAAAATCGACCGAGAGGGAAAATTAGGTCATGACGCTACCCAAAAGGAACACTTTGCAATGTTTAAACTGAAATTTTTTTTTATATACAGGTACAAGTGAGCAGTGCATATTTTAAACAAAAAATGTATGGTCTTTATGAATAATTATGGACAATTTTATCAGTGTCTTCTATGTCGCTTATCATATTTTCAATCTGTGGCAAAAACGGAAAAGAAGCCAGGCAAAAATACAAACATCCCATCACGTTATTTAACGTTTTTGATGGAAAAGTCACTAAAACTAATGAGATAGTATGTAAAATTTCATTAGATAAAGAACAAATATTTTGAATTGCATGCTTTATATCTGTCGTCCCTCTAAACGAACTGAATTTACGAGGTGTTCCACTTTTGGAACCGTACAGTTTGTTCATAGACACACGTGCTACTTACACATAACAGGAAATGAATGCCGAACTTAACCGAAGGTATCTATTTGTAAATATAAATGAGGAAAATGGAGGATTGAAATACCACGTAGTAAAATTATGCAATTCTCTTTAAAAGATTTCCGTTTTGGGTAGTGTCACGCTGTTACACGGAAGAATATCAGGGAAAAAATAGACGTTCAAAAGGGTAAACGTCTTCAATTTCTTTCGATAAAGGTCAATCTAGTGATGTCACGATTATAAGATGAGGAGCGATCACGGAAACACAAGATATTATCTGAGTGTCGTTTGATTATGAGAATCAAAACACGAGTCTAAAAACTTTAACATTCAGCATTTAATGAATGAAAATCTTATGACAAGTTTGACAAATTCAATATGAAATAGAAACACATGTAAAACTTATTACATAACTTCTGTATTTTCAAGCGTTCTTGCGAAATCTAAATTAGCGATATTCTCGCTCAATATTTCTTTCGTTGGTGACATCACAATGCATTTGACGAAATGAAGTTATGACGTCACAAATGAACCTAAGTCAATCATAACTCTGCTAGGTAGTAGTTATTACAGGTTCAGTCATCAAAAATTTACAACACTCATAACAAAGCCATTCTGGTCTTTATCACCAAGTAGCTGTGATAAAATTCAGACCCCTAGAATCACTAACGAGTCCTATAAGGACGACACGATTGTACAGTTTCTTTATTTGGCTTTTACTATACAAGATTTAAATTGCCATGAAAATATGTTTCACTTGTATATCTTTTGTACAATGTTAGAGAGACAATGTTTTTATCTGATAAGTAGAAAAAGAAAATCTGACATACCAAAATCCCTTTTTATCCAGAAAAAAATGCAACGTGTTCCTTTCTTCCAAACTTTCAAAAATGTTTGTAAATGAACTGTCATGAAACTGGGATCGGGGAATAAACCAGGATCAGGGTAACACTTCCTGGAAAATTACAATTAAAGTTTGATTTATCTATCAGGAAACGTCACAGTAGCTGAACATATCATGTTTACACACTTGTATAAAGCATAACTTCAGCTTTCACAACTCACTGACGAGATGGGTAAACTACATACGTACCTGGTAGTGTGTCTGACACTGTTCATTATATCATCTTTCTGTATCATCAATAATGGAGGATTAGCACAAGCTGGTAAGCTACTTTTATTATAAAAAAAATTACATCCAAAATAATTTGCATACCTAAAATTGTATGTATGCACCATGATACGCAGAGATCAGCGCATGGCATGTTTTCTAAATCATTAAATATTCCATTAGCCAGGTAAAACGTTATTCCAAGAGGAAAAGGTTTCGTTGTGCAGAGTTTTAATTAAATCTTTACGTAATCAATCACCGATATGTTCGTTCCTTATAATGCTGGATATGATATGTCATTAATGTTACGAGTTCATAGGGAGGAGGAGGGAGGGGCGCTGACTGCTAAGATGATCACCAATACTAGAGTTGATTGTAAGGAAATTATATGTACTCCAATCGTTATGTTTGTATATGAGTATAAAGCCAATATTATTTTGCACTCGCAGAACGTCTGATAATCGATTCACGACATACTGCTTCCGGCTATGAAATGGTTTTCATGGAGCCGCTAAATTGTACACTTAGTCGTGGCACTATATCATATATATAATCAATGGTTCACTGCATGTCGTGCAAATCATAGCATCGCTTTATATGAACAGCGTATACATATTCAATGTATCTGCATGTGATTGCATGAATGTATGAACTGATGTAACATTGTACAATGTAATTATGCCATCTTTAGTTTTATATAAAAATGTGTTTAAATCTGTAATCATTAACTAAGTTCTGTTTGTTTGCGCTGGGATTTAACGTCCCGTGAACAGCCAGGGTCATTAGCGTCGGAGTATTTTTGAAGTACCTGGTGTTTTAATCAATGAACAACATACAAAAGGCCCATCAATCACATGCTGGCCAATTGTGTCTTGCTCAAGGACACTCAACTTAGCTCGCGCCATAGACTCACAACGCATTATGCCAGTCTACAGTAATATACTCTAACTAGCCCATATTAAATCATCATATAATATCATAATTGACCCGTATTTTATTGCTTGTACTTATTCTCTCATCGTGTTGTACAGTCCACAATGACTCACATTCTCTCATCGTGTTGTACAGTCCGCAATGACTCACATCTCGGTGGTATACAATGTACAATGGAATAGTCAATAGTTATTGACTCGTATCACATCTGTAAGTCCTATTGTAATTAACTCACTTTGTAGCATATTAATTGATCACAGTCTCGTACCATATTGTTAGCACACTGTACCTACTTGTAATACCGCTTGTTCTTGTCCATATTTTACCTGGAACAACGTTTCTCATTCCTAAATTGATGTATTTTGTTTCGTTTCAGCCAAACGAACACGAAAACCTGGTTGCCACTGTAATAGGCCACCCTGTACCCCTTGTGGTGAAAAAACTTCCAGGAAATGGTCAGGACCGATCCGAGTCAATCCCCGAAAATGAAAGCACTTTTTTGACGATGTCAACAGTAAACGGCTTCCAAAGAACAATCATTCCTTCATCAATACAGCTGAAGAATGGAATGACTCGTAAAGATGAATTCCTTTGTATTTTACTCTGTCATTAATATTATCAAACCAACAAAATATTGGTTTCAGATTGTTCATAAATCTATCCGAATTTTTAAAATAAATCTTAACCCTACATTGCCTTTATTTCTGTTTTGCTATTTGGTAAATGTGTTTGACGGATATTTTACATCAAAACTGTAGTCCCTGGATATTGTCACTGCTTCCTGGGAAACCTGGCAGAGTCGACTTCCGAATTGTTGTCATATCGGCTCTCAGTTTACAGCAAATTAAATTGGTTCAAGGGACTCCAGTCATTGATATTCTGTGTATTTTTCACTTTTTCCATACACTTTGTCAACTGGATATTTCTGTCTGTTTTGCTCAAGCTTGCTGAGTACCGCTGATGGGAGATCGACATGGCACCTATCAGCAAGACGAACTAGGTAAAGCATGACGTCACTCATTTCCTGGCCTACGTGTGTCCTCTCCTTGTCCGTAAAATCTAGATAGATAAAAGAAGCGTTCTAAAAGACATATACTTTCCTGTCCTGTGAAACCTTGTAACTAAATCGCATGATGAACCCTTAAATAACACATGAGGACAAAATAACTCCTTTGGGAGGAAATAAAGTTTGACGATGGTTAAGGCGTTGACATTGCATTTTAAAGAATTTTATAACATCAGTGTATACCGTTAGTGAAACAGAATATTTACACAAAAACTCTCTGGTCTGGGAAGAGAACGAGTCTTTCTACTGCCGTCCATTTACTTTTGTTCTCCACAATTCTGATACAACTATAATTAAAACTGGTCTCGTTACGCCATTCTGTTTCACGCCAGTCATTCGATGATTCGACTGTTCCATTTATTGGAACTGCCCAATCGTGTAAGAGAACGTGACTTATTCAATGAAGCGAGAAAACTAACTACTACAACACCTAAAGTGATGTTGGTAAATAAAACAGTATTTTCTTAGCGCAATTATAGTCGATATAAATGCAATGTACTTCTTGCAAATCTTCAATGAATCAAAATGATTTTAACAGCATTTCATGGAATTTGCCAGTAAGCACATTAAGAAGACATATACTCTTTAAAGTATATACATACAATGTACAATGTCCCGGTCCTACATATCCGACCAGCTTTATGAAACGAGTCACGGTATTTGTAAAAATGTCAATTTATTTTCAAGGAGTAAATTAAATGCAGGACATATACATATACTTCACAATGTAAGAAGAAGTAATATGCATAAAGTTTTTTATGAATCAACTTACTTGGTATTCCTTCCTTTACTTCGCCTTTCCACTGACTACAACAAAAAATATCAGAATATCCGATCAGTGATGTTGACTATTTGTTTCGAATCTTTAAGTGAGTACATGAACAGTTTCTCATAATGACACAATAAAACTAAGTTATCGTTATTTCGGCCCCTTTGAGCATTGTTAGAGGAAAGACAACATACATTACTATACCGAATTAAACACAGAGTTTATTAATCAATGAATTAAGGTAAAGATGTATATCAAAAACGATTCATTTTGAACATTATCTGATAACCACACTTCATGATGTAGGTCACAAAGCATGTGTCATGATGATTATTTATTTCACGTGAAATTGTGAAATAAGCATTTTCAACTTTTACAAAAAAATTCAAAACTTACAATATTTCCGCCAGTTCGCCTACCTCCCCGACCAAGGCAAGTAAAATATTTCTAGGAGTGTGGTACTGTTCCCAATTTCTTTCCTTAGCAAATATCGACTGGAGTTCTCGTCTGAAAGATCAAAACATTGCCACTACCCAGATCATCATCATCATCATCATCATCATCATCATCATCATCATCATGTATTGTGTCATTTAGTTTAGGATATTTTCTGCTAAGGTATATATGTATATTGAACATGTTTCTTTAACTGACTTCTGATGACTGAAGATTGTATCCTCAAGTACACTTACATTTTTTCAAGAGAAGGTTCTTCGCTGAATTTAAATCCTTCCTTGTGAGGATTAACTATTTCCTCAAAGGGTCCATTCTTTGATATCTTCTTTGGAGAATGATCACCCTCGGCCATCTTTTTTTTTTTTTTTTTACTTGGAGACAAAAATTTGAAGACTGAAACGTATACGTATAATGTTAAATACATGTATGCGACAACATCCTCATCTGATATGTGTATTTATATACATGGATTCTGGTATTTCACAAGAATACTACGGGCAAACGATTGCTTCATTTAAATTTAATGTACAAACAATTTGCATTTTAACATGGTTTGTGGTGGCTTCTTGTAAATACGCCATACACTGTAATTCTACAGACAACTGATAGAAATCAACATCATTTTGTGCATTGAAATATTACGGAAACATACTACAAATTTGTACACATACATCTGTAAATATTTGGACTAATCTGTAAACTGTACATGCATGCTACGGCTCACGAAAATCTCATCAATCACATACTTATTGCACTGAAAATTAATGTTTTGAACTTCCATATGACCTCATCTGAAACACAGTGGTTGAATTTCCCTCCAAACGACACCGATTGTAACCGATGACATATGTCTTATATATCACGTGAACCGATTAATCAACGTTTATCAACATGAGCAATGCATGTGGTTAATCTAACATTATTTGAGATGCCCAAATTACTCGCATCTATACATCGATCGCTCTCACACGTTTAAAAACTGTATTTTCACTCACATGACAACAGCCTCGTGGTGCAAGTTTATTTTCACTACACATGCGCAGATACATATTTGAGTGCTTGACTTCCGTAGTATCAGGAAACTGATTCCATGCTCAACAGAGACATTATTCTTTTTATTTTTTTTTTAAATTTTGTTTTTTCATTTTTGATATATATGATATCGTGCTGATGCTACAAATAATTCACTGATTACATATTACTAGATCACATCATACTTGTTTTTTTTATATTTTCACTGTTGCCCCTAAATGGTAAGAGCTGAATAACTGTGTATAATCACGATTTATAGCATACTTTTTGGAAAATTGCATTTGTTTCAATAATTCTCGTCTTTTCCGTGCATTTTTTTAACATGTTCAAACACCCATGACAATCATGACACAATGCATAACATACATAATTCCAGACTCTGGCGACATGTACCTGTTGGAGTAAAAAGAGGGATCAATGTTTGTCCCTCACACTTCGATTTCTTTTATTATTTTGCCTTTTGTGGAAACATAAAGATAAACCGTTATAACTGTATCAATGATTGTTACTACTGATAGTCGTACAGTTGAGTGACGGGTATGAAAACAAACTGGCAGATACAGGAATGCTATTTTGAAAAGCTAACACTTTTTACCATGCGAAACACACCCTCAGCACAATTTCCCATATTTTTGTTTTTGTCTTTGTATTTTTTTTTTTTTTTTTTGGGAATGGTGGGGGGGCTTTTTCTTTTTTGTTAATTGTAAATGTGTTTTCTATTTTTATATCATACTTGACCACTTTATATGCAGCAGTAATAACTAACAAATATACATTCTACAATAGTGATCTATCCTTTGAAGAACTACAGTAACTTAAGACTGAATGAAATAAAACATGAATGGATATCACTTAATTTAATTTCTTTAACTATAATCATGTAAAGTAAGAAATGTTAACCTTGTCTGACGCCCGATAAAAGACAAGGTAATTATGAAAACATGTGCATTTATACTATATTTAGAAAGCTCACTTACATGTATGACAGATATCCGGTATTAACCATATGTACTAACAGCTACTGATTTCTGAATAAGTTTCCCTACTCAATATCCATGGTGAATATGTGCATAGGTTATGGTTGCAAAAACCATATAGAAAAAAATTACGACAAGGGTCCCAATCTCAGATACAACATGTATACTTATCTCATAATTACTGGCTACAGCAAAATCCGAAGAAAGAATATAATGTGGAAAAGTTACAAGAGCTACCTCAAACATAGACCATTACATTCAATGCTTGGTAAACCTGGTAGCGCTGACACTCCAGATGACATAGAACATGATGTTGACGAGTCTTACACAAACTCTATGTCAACCAGCGAACTAGTATATATCTCTATTGATAGTTTGTTTTATGGAGGGAACTCGGATAAAAGGCGTGTTATTTCTGCAAAGGAGGCCCGTAAGTTACGTAACATGGCTTGGCGTGTCAGAATAGACCCTATATTTTTTCTATGGTATGTGGTGTCCACTTGATGCATGTGTTTGCAATAAACATCCCTGACTGACAATAGGCCTACAGACGAGAGAACCGCGAGAACTTAATCTAAAAAAACTGAGCTGGTCTTGTGATAAATGACCTCGAACCGAGTAATTTTCTATCTGCAGGTAGCCAAACTACTGCAGACGTTGATGTTTACCATCTCAGTGAAGAGGAATATATAGTATGGACGGAGTACACGTTTTAGCAAATGTAGGAAATCTACAGATTTGCTCCCCCCAACTCAGTAGAGGATCACCTTCTTCTACTTTTGATCACCCTCCTCAAAGATCATCATACTGTGGACAAAAGTAACACAACTATGTCAAGTTATGAACATTTTCTTTCTAAACCGGTTTGCACTAGATATTATAAGTCCATTTAATGAGGATGAAAACTATACAAAGAATCAGACAAAAATACGTTTGAACACTGAACTATTGGTTCAGTGATGATGACAATGTGATTGTTGACCGGAGGTTTAAGAATGTGCTGGTCCTGTTGCAAGGTTCAGTGTTTCAGTATACATATACAAGCCTTTTTATCTTCTTCAAGGTCAGACACAACATGATACACCGAATGCCAACGATACCGGGCAGTACACAAACTATGAGTGTTGTACTGTCTGTATATGCCCAGTGCTACCGTTGTACTGTGTATATATGTCTGTTGTTAGTGTTGTACTGTGTATATATGTCCGGTGTTAGTGTTGTACTGTGTATATATGCCTGGTGTTATTGTTGCACTGTGTATTTATGTCTGGTGTTAGTGTTGTACTGTGTATATATGCCTGGTGTTAGTGTTGTACTGTGTATATATGCTTGGTGTTAGTGTTGTACTGTGTATATATGCATGGTGTTAGTGTTGTACTGTGTATATATGTCTGGTGTTATTGTTGAACTGTGTATATGTGCTTGGTGTTAGTGTTGTACTGTGTATATATGTCTTGTGTTAGTGTTGTACTGTGTATATATGTCTTGTGTTAGTGTTGTACTGTGTATATATGTCTTGCGTTAGTGTTGTACTGTGTATATATGCCTTGTGTTAGTGTTGTACTGTGTATATATGCCTGGTGTTAGTGTTGTACTGTGTATATATGCCTGGTGTTAGTGTTGTACTGTGTATATATGCCTGTTGTTAGGTTTGTACTGTGTATATATGCCTGTTCTTAGGTTTGTACTGTGTATATATGTCCGGTGTTAGTGTTGTACTGTGTATATATGTCTGGTGTTAGTGTTGTACTGTGTATATATGCCTGGTGTTAGTGTTGTACTGTGTATATATGTCTGGTGTTAGTGTTGTACTGTGTATATATGGCTGGTGTTAGTGTTGTACTGTGTATATATGCCTGGTGTTAGTGTTGTACTGTGTATATATGCCTGGTGTTAGTGTTGTACTGTGTATATATGCCTGGTGTTAGTGTTGTACTGTGTATATATGCCTGGTGTTAGTGTTGTACTGTGTATATATGCCTGGTGTTAGTGTTGTACTGTGTATATATGCCTGGTGTTAGTGTTGTACTGTGTATATATGCATGGTGTTAGTGTTGTACTGTGTATATATGTCTGGTGTTATTGTTGAACTGTGTATATGTGCTTGGTGTTAGTGTTGTACTGTGTATATATGTCTTGTGTTAGTGTTGTACTGTGTATATATGTCTTGTGTTAGTGTTGTACTGTGTATATATGTCTTGTGTTAGTGTTGTACTGTGTATATATGTCTTGTGTTAGTATTGTACTGTGTATATATGTCTTGTGTTAGTGTTGTACTGTGTATATATGTCTTGCGTTAGTGTTGTACTGTGTATATATGCCTTGTGTTAGTGTTGTACTGTGTATATATGCATGGTGTTAGTGTTGTACTGTGTATATGCCTGGTGTTATTGTTGTACTGTGTATATATGCCTGGTGTTAGTGTTGTACTGTGTATATATGCCTGTTGTTAGTGTTGTACTGTGTATATATGCCTGGTGTTAGTGTTGTACTGTGTATATATGCCTGGTGTTAGTGTTGTACTGTGTATATATATGCCTGGCGGTAGTGTTGTACTGTGTATATGCCTGGTGTTATTGTTGTACTGTGTATATATGCCTGTTGTTAGTGTTGTACTGTGTATATATGCCTGTTGTTAGGTTTGTACTGTGTATATATGCCTGTTCTTAGGTTTGTACTGTGTATATATGTCCGGTGTTAGTGTTGTACTGTGTATATATGTCTGGTGTTAGTGTTGTACTGTGTATATATGGCTGGTGTTAGTGTTGTACTGTGTATATATGCCTGGTGTTAGTGTTGTACTGTATATATATGAATGGTGTTAGTGTTGTACTGTGTATATATGCCTGGTGTTAGTGTTGTACTGTGTATATATGCATGGTGTTAGTGTTGTACTCTATATATATGCCTGGTGTTAGTGTTGTACTGTATATATATGCCTGATTCTACCGTTGTATTGTGTATATATGCCTGGTGTTAGTGTTGTACTGTGTATATATGCCTGGTGTTAGTGTTGTACTGTGTATATATGCCTGTTGTATATAGTTTGTACTGTGTATATATGCCTGGTGTTAGTGTTGTACTGTGTATATATGCCTGTTGTTAGGTTTGTACTGTGTATATATGCCTGGTGTTAGTGTTGTACTGTGTATATATGCCTGTTGTTAGGTTTGTACTGTGTATATATGCCTGGTGTTAGTGTTGTACTGTGTATATATGTCTGGTGTTAGGTTTGTACTGTGTATATATGCCTGGTGTAAGTGTTGTACTGTGTATATATGCCTGTTGTTAGGTTTGTACTGTGTATATATGCCTGGTGGTAGTGTTGTACTGTGTATATATG